AGTCCGAACTAATGAAATTAATCATGAAACATTATCAATCATCTTCAAACAAATGTTTCAATGAAAGTATCTTGGGTATTTTTCCTGTATTATGTTTCGTTCAAGTAACGATCAACTTTGAAAATAGCTATATGAAGTTTTGGAGAGTTCACTTTCATTATTTACAGTTATATACGGTTTTCCATTCGAATTACCTAATGAAACATTGTTTTCGGGGTTTGGTTTATATAGTTTCGGAAAAACATTTTGAAACTGATATTCAACAAGAGAAAAACTACATTTAAAAATATATTTGTGATAAAATGGACTTTTTTTCAAAAATGTAAACTTCAATAATCTATATTATTTTTGGAGTAACTTTTGAACCGCTGGATACGTATCCAAACAAACTACATGTATTGAAATATTTTTTCTGTGGAAAGCAGTACATGGCGTTATGTCACTATTATATTATCGAATGGAAGTTCGACGTAAAAAACGCACACTGTAAATTCTTAATATGACATTAAGTATGGCAACAACTATTTTACATTCGTGAATCTTTTGTCTCGTTTGTGAGTCTATATCTGGGTTAGAACTCGTAAAACATTTTACGATGGTATTGTATCTCCTCAAAAGAATTATGATTCGGTATGTTGTTAAAACCAAAACAGTAAATCGGTTATAGTACCTATTTTACATTTTTCAGCTACTCAGCATATTTTTGGAATATCTTTATTTTGTGTGCCTTTGTCTTTGAACTATTTTTGAATTTTAGTGATGCAACTTTATTTTATTTATTATCGTCAACGAATAGGGGAGCGAAGGGTAATTGCGGAAAAAGAACACCTCATAGGTACATTCAAAAGATTCGTTATTACTGATATGTTGTATATCGTATATCATTGACAAATTTATTTGAAGTAGTACTGTGGAATAAATAAAAGATAAAGAGATTAAAAAATATACGACTTCGGCATTACCCTAAATTTTCGGTTGATGGCGTACGGTTTTCGGGACATTCCTAATACACTTAAATAGAAGTAAAAATACGAAACATAAAAATATTAATGATAAAAACCACACAGATATTTTTATATTCCTTTTCGTATCAATTCCATTGCAAACCTCCACTTGCAACACAATAATATTAAGTTCATTTTTGTTTCTTTTTGTTAATTTTTCAGTGGCTACATTTCGTTGTTTTGTTCGGTTATCTAATTTTGCTAGTTTTTCAATCCCTTTTCTCTATTTTCCTTCCAAAAGAATTTTCAAAATAACTTTCTATAGGTGCAATCATTTTTTTAATCCGTTGATGGACTTGTATTAGGTTGTTTCGAAAGTTTTTTTCGTTTTTATGAGTCTACTTTGAAGTGTAATATCTCGTGAATACTTATTCAATTCAATCGAAATAGGCGCCATTTGAATCGGTGCACTTTTGCTAACGTAACACAAGTCGATGAATTCCGCCAGCATAAAAATAATTTGTACTCGGAATTCGATGAAGTCGACGAAGGACATTTTTGGCTGGTCCAGATTGGCAAAGGTTCTACCGGTAAGAAAACTATCGAGCTTGAGGAGATAGTAGTGGCTGACGCGAAGTCTGGGGAGTATGGTGGGTGATGCAGAACTTTGACGCTCAATTTGTTTAATTTTTGGACGGTGATTTGTGAAAAACGCAGACGGGTGTTGCCGTGGAGCAGGATAGGAAGTTTTCTGTTGACGAGTGACGGCTACTGCTGATGCAATTTTTGATACATTTCGGTCTTTTTTGTGGGTTTTTGTCTTTGGGAAGTAGCTGGGTGGCTCATTGGTGTCCAACCACTGTCCTGAACGTTTCCTATTATTGTAAAAGATCCACTTTTCATCACACGTGACGATCCAATCCAAAAAAGGTTCGTGTTAGTTCCCAAAAATTAGGAAGAACAGACCTCGAAACCTGACAATTTCTGTAGATCGTTCAAATCGTGGGGCATCTACCTATCAAGCTTTTCGACATTTCCAATACGTTTTAAACCATCAAAATCCGCTGGGAGCTGACGTCAAGTTCTTTTGCCATCCTACGACAGGATTCTGATGGGTCAGTCTCCACCAAGATCCTCAAATCCTCGTCCTGGATTACTCTAGGTCGATCACTCGAGGCTCAAATCTACGGAACAAAATTTCGCAAAATAACACGAACAGTGCGTAGACCATTAGAAAAGCTTTCTTTCTTTTAGAAACAAATAATGTAAAATCTAAAGTCATAAAAGATATCGATGTTCTGTGTTGTATTGTCCAAAGTATATTTTTTGTTGGGAAAAGAAATTCCAAAATAGTTTATTGTTTTAACTTTTCACTCACTTCACTGTGTTTCAAATTTATAAATTACTTTGGTTTATGCAACATGATATGCAGATAAAAGTGATTTTCAGTTGCCTAACAAAAAAATTAATTTCTGAATGATACCTCTTAGTAGGTAATTCTGAATTCTTCGAATATTGTATTTTTGGAATATACACGATTCCTTTGAAAGCATCCAGAAAATGTCCGCCTGGAACATAATAATCAAAGTATCTCAACATAGAATAGAAAATATCCACAGTATAATACCGTCGTAGGTATAGTTTCGTAAATTACGTGATGAAATCAAATAGATCAGTAGAAATACAATTTTTTACAATAAAGCATTTGTGAGCAAAGGGGTAGGTATTACAGGTTCCACGAGTTTCTGAGTGACCTTTTTTATATTTTTAACATTTTTCATATCTACATTTTATGTATACAAATCTTCACAACATGTCCAAGTATCTCAGCTATTTGCCAGGTAGGTAGAATCAGATGGTTTTAACATTAATTGGAAAGATTCGTTTTTTCAAAAAAAGCGTTTAATTATTTTCTACTTCTAAGTCAATACAGGAATGTAAAATGTAAAAAAAGGAAAAAATATGTATGATATGAACTCTTTTCAAAGATTGTAGACCATGCACCACACTAGTTTTTTTTCAGGTACAAATCCTGCCATTCATGTTCTTAATTAGGAGTAGGTAGTTGATTCGAATATATTTTTCAAGTACACCCTATTTCACATATAAACATCCAAAACAAACTTTTGTGCTCAATTTTGTGAAGTTTTCTGGAATTTATTATTCTTTATAGATCATTGAAAAGTAGACAGTCGGTCGCTCCTGAAAATACTTTTAATCATCAAAATTCCTATAGCACGGAGTAAAAGTAACTAGTGAATGAATTAATTTTACGATACAATGTCTCTTCCAGTGTCAAATAGTCATGCATAAAATTTTGCAGGGATTTTAAAGATACATAGTTGTTTGGCATCCAATTTGAAGAAGGAAAAGTGGTCATAATCAAAAGTAGTTGTTTTGGATAGATCTTTTCTTTCACACATCATTGTGAGAAAATCATATTGATATTTTTGATTTTTCCTCTTTTTTTGAAATTTTCAATTTTTTATGCATTAATGGAAAAGTAAAAAGCCAGAAAGGTTATCTTTACACAAAGTTTTTAATTATCATATACCACTACATTTATTGACTGTTCATTTGTTATTTCTGTAGCTAGTATTATTATTGAGAATGTTTATGATGAGAAATGATCCTCCACTTTTGAATCTTGAATAACCAAATACGCGGGGTTAAGGGGGTGGTCTAAGCAACGAAGCGCCAACGCCGAGAAAGCAACCCAAACGCATGCAGACAGGCGCCGTTGACGGTTGTGTTAGTTTTGCGAATATAGAACATGGAGCGAAACAGGTCATCATATATGCAGTCTTCAATCATATATATTCATTTTGAATGATGCAACAAATTTTCCTTTATTTTAAGTATTTTAATATCAATGAAAGTCATAAAAAGGATGGTGAAGGATCAATGCTCGGATTGCAACAAATTCTATATTTTCACATATAGTCAGTGGGCATATAAATCAAATTATCTAAGAACTCGAGGAATGATACTCTGACGGAATTCGATTTTCAATTATCGGAAATCATCGACTTCATGTTGATGATATACACTACCTTGCATTGACGAGTGGCCAAACAGCCCGAAACCGGTCTGCAAGTGTGTTCCGATAATTGATAATATATTGCGGCAGTTGTATCGCCAACAGCATATGCAGGAATAACTTCTGTGAAGAAACCTGCACTGACACCTGTCGGATATAATCCAACGCCCTTCGTGGTATTAGTCAGGGGAGTAGTTGTTTTCTGATAGGCGTCAGTCCATTAACCTACTGTGTAAGGAGTTGAGACTGGCCTGAACGAATTGTTCTTTGATAATTTAAATTCTATATTGGCCAAACCAAGAAAAAATTGATCCAAAGGTACGACGAGCACAAAAAGGCATACATAAGACCAATAGTATATAAATCAAACCTCGCAACACACGCCATACAAAACAAACATAATTTCCCCCAACCAGAGAACATAAACAAGTCAATAAGGGAAACCGTATGGACATTTGGGAAAACTTAAACATCCATCCTGGAGTACCTGTATTGAGGCGTTAGGACTGTATAAATGGACATACAACAGGATGACACGTTCAGTTTGAGTAGAGCCTAGATGATGTTAGTACGACCAGCTATCGAAAGCGCTCGCATATAATTAAATAGAAGTTATAAAGCTTCAAATCCTTTTTGTGACTTACATTATATGTTTTCTCGGGTTCCGCTCCGTGTTCTGTGTATTTTCTCCCCATAAGGATTATTTTCACAACGTTTCGGCAAAGTCTTTTATAATTTTTAATATGAAATTTGTTTGTTTATAGTTGTCTTAAAAGTTAGTACGCCATTGAAATCATTGGTTTTGAATTTATTGCCGCATGCCTTTTGAAAATGCACCATTGGGACACTATGTTGCAAATTAACAGGTGCAATACACAAGACCATCACAAATCATTGTTTAGTTGTGGAATGAGTCATTGAATGTGGTTAAAATGAATGTTTTTTTGAAAAAATAGTTTCTATTACAAACTTTTCAAAAGCAAGTATATCAATAATATTTAAATCAAACGAATATGCACATGGAATCCTATCTTATTTACATATTTACAAACTGTACAATTAACCATGAATGTATTTTAGTTCTGGAAAAACTCAAAAAAAATCTGATGCCTTTTTCCTTTTGGGCAACTGAAGTTTCAACAAGTCATCTGTAGATACTTCAGTTGGCTTCTTATGTCTAATGTTGACTAAAGGAGTGGAAGCTCTTCTTGGGGATGGGAGGGGTGTTTTCCTCCTCGTCATAGGACTGGGGGTGTAGGCAGATCTGAAATCAGAATTCACTCCCAGCTTTAGCTTTACAGTTGCTAGTTTTCTTGCTGCTGGTGACATTGTTGCTAAGCGGTCAATTGTGCTGGTATGTAATCTCGGAGATGGTCTGAAAATGAGAAACAAATTAATGAGTAAAAATGATTTTTATATGATGTTGAGGTATTTTAGTTAAGTTCAGTTTAGTTGAGACATTTCAAAAAAGACAAATTTTGAACAAATAAAACCTTGAAGAGTTATAAATATCAACATAAAATATACAAATTATTTGTGCAAAATGGGCCTTGAGAATACTATGGACAAAATAAAACAATGAGATTGATACTACACTGATAATTCATTCGGGTAAAGTATATATGTTATAGAAATTGCTAGGCTTACTGTTATTCTAAAGTGAAATATTTTTCAGTTATAAAACCTTTCGATGTTCAGGAATACAAATGGAAAAGACAGACAACTTTTCTGTCATCAATAAAGCAATACAATACTTGATTTCAGTACAGGACAATAAAACGAGATGAATAATGCATCCTATAAAAATTATAAATAATGACAGCACAGTTGACAATTGAACAGAGTGGGTATGAAGACATAAGAGTGTCCTTCAATAAAATGAATATAATTCTTCGAAATTTGCATACTGAAATTCTTGAAGGGAATAAAAACAGTATTTGAGAAGGTACTGATTCAAAAAACACTTTATTGTGAGATTTTTACCAAACAGTTTTACAAAAACACAACATGTATTTCGCCATACAAACTTTACAGTGTCTTTACTTTACAGAACTTTACAGTGCATTTACTTTACAGTAAAGACACGCCCGAAGAAGCCATTGTATGGCGAAACACGTCTTGGGTTTTTGTAAAATTGTTTAGTGAAAATCTCACAATGATTTGAAATTCTTATGTCGATAATATGAATTAAAAAAATATTCATGATTTAATTTTCAAAACTGTTTTCACCATATTAAAAAAACGTAATTGGTTACAATAATGTTTGAATAGGAAATATTTTACTAACCTTGGTAAAGGGGTGTCGCTACCATCTAATCTGAATGGAGTTCCTTCAATTTGCCCCCAAGTCATCAGTGGACTACCCAGAAGACTCGGTGAAGGAGAAGGAGTCCTTACGAAGCTGAAACCATTCACCTGTGGGGTATCAGGTTTTACCAATTCTTTGCCATCAACACCTATTTTTCCATCTAAAACCTGTAAAATAATTATGATGAATTATGAGTAGAATCAATCAAGGTTTTACATTACAGTTGAGATCAAAGGAAGGGAATAGTCCTAATGTTTTACTGCCTTGAAATAATAAAAAGATAAAACTTTATTATCAACATTGACATTTTATATACATCCTTTACGATGTTGGTATTATAGGTTTTATAGGAGCAACTACGGACAGCAGCCATTTCGCATAGTTTCATGGTTCTACTGCACATCTAAGGTTATTCCAACATTGTTGATAGTACACGAGATAGCATGCCACCAATTTATAGCACTTTTTTATTCAAATGCAGAAAAACAATATTTTTTACGTTTTATAGAAAGAACAAAATCCGGGCTGGTAGGCAGTGATTGAAAGGGATATGTGATACCATATGTTTGTATGCTATTGCAGCAGACATCTTAAGTGGTGTCCTACCTTAGTCCTCGTAGTGAATGCCTATACCACTGAAGATGTCTGTCACAGTGGCAGATGAAATGTTTGGTTTTGACCATGGCCTACCAGCGCAAATTTTGTTCTTTCTCATTGTTTGTCTTATGAAACGTAATGTTTCCCACTATGTGCTCTTCAAGAATCGCTTTCCTATTTATTGAGAATGTTGACAAAACCTGAATTGGAAGCAAGTATACATTTCACAGGACTGCCTGTGAAATGATATGATAGTTGAAAACTTACTTTTGCTTGACTCTTAGCCAATTCATTAATGACTTCTTTACTGTGGCTTTCATTGAAAGGGTTGACTGCTAGCCTAGTATTGGAATGGTCTATCTCTTGTCTCTTCTTGTTCAACTCAATTTCTGTTTCTTTGGTTAATTCAACTCCATCAGGTACATACATGATATAATTTCGATTTTTGTAACCCCAAGTATCAACATTGAATTTTTTTTCCTGAGGTAGAGCTTGCTGTTCAATAGATGGTAGACAAAGTAATTTTTTTTGATCTTCTTCACTCTTATCTTCTTCATTGAAAAGATACCAATACTTCTGCCTATGTTTTTTTTCAGATTCTACAATGATTTCGTCGAAACTTTCATTATCTTGAGAGGTGTGTGAATTTAAATATTGATCCAGACTAAGATTTGCTGTTTTTAGTTTTTCTTCATTTTCAGTCTCGACAATTTCTTCCCTGTGGTGAATTTTGGAATGTTGAGAATTGTGTAAGTTGGGTGGGGTTTCAAATGTAGCAGGACTTGGTACTGAAAAAAAAAAAAGATTTGACGGGTCTGCTCTACTAACTGGTCAAGAAAAGTTTATATTTAGTCTATTTCGTCAACCATAATTATGACAGTACTATGTACTTCTCTTGTTAATACAACATTAAAATCACTTGAGGTTTAAAAAAAACACAAAAAACTGTAACAAAGGATCTAGCAGTTAAAACAAGTGGAAATACATCACAACACATACACAGTTTTACAAGTCAATGATCACCAGCAAACTAAAATTAAGAATGAGGTTACCTTTATTATTTGTTAAAACTTCCTTCAAAAGGAAGGTTGAAATTGCTGAAAAGTATAAAGGTACTTGATGTGCTGAGTATTTGTAGTCCAATGAACAGGGTCTTTTCAAAAAATAAGGTGAACATTCAAATTTCGCGGGCTACGTGAATTCGATTAGCGATTTTTTATCTATGTATGTTGGTACACTCGTCTCAAAGATATGTTCACAGTTTCATTTATTTAGCATGTTTAGTTTGTTGGTGAGAGGCATAAAAGTTAGAAACTGTTTAGCGTGTTTGACAATTTTCTATCGAAAAAAAAATGGATCAAATCACTTGCATTAAATTTTGAGTAAAAAATGAAATTAAGTGCTCAAATACTTGAAATGTTGACAGTGGCATATGGTGATTGTACTCTGAGTCAGAAAAATGTTCACATGTGAATAACGATGCTTGCCCTAGACACCCCAGCACATCAACAACCAATGAAAATATTGGGAGTGATCAAAATTGTTATGGAGAATCGGGGAATCACTATTAGAGAAGTTGCTGAGGATGTAGGCATATTGGTTGGCTCATGCCATGCAATTTTTTCGAAAATTTTGGGCATGAAGCCTGTGGCAGAGAATTTCTTTCCAAAATCACTGAATTTTGACCAAAAAAAAACTGTCGCATGAGCATCGCTCGGGAATTGTTGAATGACGTCAACGGGTATGCAGATTTGCTTGAAAGGGTCATAACTGGTGATGAATCATGAGTACATGGTTTTGAAATTGAACACAAAGTCCAATGGTCTCAATGGAAGAGCCCAGGAGAGCCAAAACCAAGTTTGATCAACTGTAAATGTTTTGCTCACTGTTTTCATCAATTACCAAAGCGTAATGCATCAGGAGTTCTTGCCACCTGTTGCTACAGTCAATAAGGAATATTTTCTTGAAGTTATATGCCGCTTGCGAGAAGCAATACAAAGAAAACATCCGGCTCATTGCTTCTGAATCATGATAATTCGCCTGCTCATTGCTTGTTCTTAATTTTTTGGCCAAAAACAACACTGAAATCATGTCTCAGCCACCACGATTACCAGATTTGGCCTCCTGCGACTTTTTTCTATTTCCAAGATTGAAGAGACCCATGAAAGGACGGCGTTTTGTGACGAATGATGAGGTAAAAACCGAATTGCTGCGAGAGATAAAGAACATACCGAAAATTGCATATCAGAACTGCTTTGAGAAACAGAAATAACGCCAGCACAGGTGTATTAAATCTGAGAGGGACTACTTTGAAGGGGACAAAATAGAACTTGCCCTACTTTTTGAAAAAAAATTCAAATTGATTCAAGTATTTTTATATGCTGATAATGATGCGCACGGCTGGTGTAAACCTCGAAGTAGGAATGGGTCAATTGAGGCTGAGCCTTTGAAGAGAAGCGCTTACTGCGCAACCTTTGCTGCAGGCAACCAGTTATGCAATTGAACCCAGGTTTGTGTTCAATAAACCTTACAAAATACAAATAAAACAGCCAAATGTTACACCCATGCTCAATCTCTAAAAAGATGACATGTCATCAAAGGATGCAATCTTGCCAGGATCATCATGGGCGACCCCGGGAAGCTAGCGCCGAAGAAATATCTGGCGATGACCAGGAAAAATCTATGCTTAACAGTAGGATTTCTGACTGGCTACTGTCAACTAAGGAAATACCTCCATAATATTGGGCTAATGGACACACCTTTATACAGGATGTGTGAATAGGAAGATGAGACTGTCAGGCAAATCCTATACGAATGCCCGGAGTTATCGTCAATAAGAGAGAGTGTGTTCCACGAGTCTTGGCCTACACCTGCCAATATAAAGGAGATGTCTCCCAGTGACCTGTCCACCTTCCTGGAAATGACAGGATGGACGATGACCTCGGAAGGATGTACAATGGGTCATATGTGGCCTAAGTGCTGTGGGCTTACACTCACCCTCCCTACTCTACAGATATCTACTTTCGGAGATGCAGCCAATAAAAAGTTAATGCGCTATTATGAAATAGAATATTTAAGAAATTCACTTCTGACAATGGAAACTCATGAGATGAATCACAATGTCAATATTGAGAAGTAAAGATAAGCTACCAAATTGCAAAAATGTCACTCAGATTCGCCCTAAAAGACAAAAACAAATCATTACTTTTTGAAAATGTCTCAATAATTGATATGCAAACCATATAAATTACTCTTATTTCTTTTGACCTGAATTGGACGACCTGGACACCAATGACATGTGGTTTCAACAGGATGGCAGTACGTGCCACACAGCTGATGCCATATTGGATATTATCACATCACCTCCACCTCACGTGGACGTGATGTGATATGATCACCGAGATGGTGTGATTTAACTCCTTTAGACTTTTCTTGTGGGGTTTTATTAAGTCGCAGGTGTATGCGAATAAGCCACAAACCACATCGTTCCTCAAAGCCAACATAACCTATACCATTGGTCAAATTCAGCCTGAATTTGGCGCCAGAAATATAGAAAATTGGATGTTTCAGATGTGCTCCAACCAGAGAAGCCGTGGCTGATATTTGAACGATGTTATATTCCTCACATAATGTCATCAATAGGTATTTCAAGCAAATACAATTTTTTGATGATATCACACACACTTTGTTTTATCTGAAATTAAAGATAGGAAGTGCTCAATGAAAGACCCTATAGAAAACACATTATAAATGTTGAAAAAATGATCTTCTTTATCTTTTCTATATGCATATAAATTTATCAACATTATATTCAGTTGTAGTTAATTGTTGTCACACTTTCAACAAAACCAAGGAAAAAGCTCCTTACAAAAGAGTCATTTATTTCATAACTTCATGATGTAGTTTGTTGGAAAAATTACGATTTTAGGAAAATCAGCAGCAGCAGGTTATGAGTTTTTATTACTGAGAGTTTTTGAAATAGTCAAATTTTAGATAGCAACACCAACTTTTGGCTTCAGATTCGTGATCAGCAGTAGGTGGTTAGGTAGATTCCATTACCAGCGTGTCAAATATTGGCTTCAGATTTGTGATTGTATATTTGTGAAAATATTTCAAATAATAGTGTGAACTGTTAAAATGAATATTAACTTCCCAATTTCAATGTGTCAGTCCATACTGAACTTGTGTACTTACTTCTCTCTGGAGCGGGTCTACTGCCACTATATTTCCTATAAAGTTCTTTAAGCTTTACTTGATCATTGAGAGCAAGAGCATCCAAATATTCATTTTGTGCTTTGAGTCTTTCAAGATCAGGAAAAAAATCCCTTTGGATGATTTTTCCAATTTCCTAAAGAACAGATACAAAATTAATACAAAGTGATGAAATATTCCATGAGATTTTCCATACCTCCACATAGGTTTCTTCTTGTAAAACTTTCTTCTTGTTTCGTTTTTTAGCTTTTCCAATGGGCTTCTTGAAAACTATATCATTATGCAGAGTTTCCATTATTTCCATCGCTTTCCTGCCAGGGGAATTCTCAATAGAGTCACACATATTGGAAAATATTTAAGAACTTTGTAGTTAGGTAAAATACTATCATCAAATTAAATGAGGTTAGCTTTTGATGACATAGAACATACACATCCACGGAATCATAGAATCACAGAGGGAATTAAATTCCTTTTGAGCTGTATTCGAGTTGTTGGTTGCCCGGAACGATCGGAGCACACCCTGAATGATTTTGTAGTATTTCTTTTGAAACTTTAGAGTCGGGGTATGCTCTCGCTCCTGTGTGTCAATTTTTTCCTGTTTCTGTATTCAAAAAACACTTATTAGTAGATTTTCACTGAACAGCTTTATAAAAACACAAAACAATGGCTTCTTCAAGCGTGTCTTTACTCTATTGAACTGTTTGGTAAAGATCTCACAATAAAGTATTTTTCTGATACCAACGTTATGAATTTCCATCAAGTACCGGTCAATTCCATCAAATATTCTGTTTCTGATTTCAAGCTCAATCACTGACTTAAACTTTATTTCACATTGAACTAAGGTTAAAAGTATAATTCTGTCCCCAATTCCCTCAAACAATTAAATTTCGCAAATTTCAAAACTAAATATGAAGACCATTTGTTCTACTGAAATTAAAGTAAATTATTGATATCTTGTAAGGAATGGGTAAAGTAAACTCTGTAGGTAAGGTGTTTGTTCCTATTTATATTACCTTTATATATAACAACAACAGTTTCATTAATTTTTTTTCATCTTCTTTTTTTCTCTTTTCAGGGTTGAGTGGAAGAACATTTTTCGTGACGTCGTATTGCATTACGGACGATGAACTTTGCCCTTTATTTCACTTGCTAGTTTGGATAGTTATGTTGAGTTTTTTTTTGTTCATGAAATAATAAATACGGTATTATTATTATTAGGTACTCGTATCATTGAATACTACGTAAGAAGGTCTGTCCGCTAGATTGGGTGTCAACTCGAATGCAGTTGAAGAGGGGCAGACATGCTTGCTCAAATTCTGCATAATTTTTACGAATGAAATGATTACCACAAACAGGTTGTGGTAATCATTTCATTGATTTGTGGTTGTGCTCCACAACCACAAACACAATTTGTTAGTTTCGATGATCTGAATCATCACCATTCTTGTAGACGATCATGTATGTTGTCCCTCTCAAACTGATAACATGAATAATGAGATGAATTACTTGATTGCAATTATTTTCTCGAATTCTAGTATATGTGTATGGTTGGTAGATGTCGACTGTTTTGAAGTTCACACGTGGTATGAATGAAATGTTAGCAATGTAGAATAAAGAAGAAGAATAGTATGTTAGGTATAATGTAACATTCCGTTTTTCCACTTTTTTATTTTTTTTTTTATTTTCGACACAATATGAACAGGAATAAACCTGTTTTGCCAATTTTAACTTGTAGATTGTAATATACCAATTATTGATATTTCTATTTTCACTGATCTAGGATTCTTCCAAGCAGTCTACAGTAGAACTCCAAACGAATCATAATCAGAATGTTGAAACCTATTTCAAAGTTCATATTGATTATTTTGATTATTTTTATTCATGTAACGGTTAGGATTACGAATACGCATCAACTAGTTCTTTCCTTCTGTTGTCCAGTCATAGACTTTATTTTTATAGTGTAGTGTAACGTAGAGTAAGTGAGGTACAGAGAGAGAGAGAGAGAGAGATCTTTCAGTAATGTCAAATCTAGAATCGGGCTCTGCATATATGAATGATTCAACAGGTGGCAAAACTTGTCTGAACATTGAACTGATACCGATTCTATAAGTGAGGATGAATTTTTGAAAAGGTCTTTTCGGTGCTTGGCTTCGTATGGAAATCATGCCAGTTAATAAATAAATTGGATAAATAATTATCTCAAATTCAATGGGAAAGGTAGAAAAACTATTGCGCTTTGTACTTATACAGACAAAAGTGATTCGGAAAACGAGCAGGCCAGTCGTAGATGACGACCAACATTTTTCGCCAGGAAAAGAGTCGTCTTTTCATTCACGAACCTATTAAAAAAGTGTTTTTCTCATTGATAGTGGTTCTGATGTTTCAATTGTACCCAAAAATAAGAATTACTTACACGGAAAACCCGTGTAAGCAGTTAATGAAACGATAATTGACACTTATGATAAAGAACTCCTTGCGACATTTTCATGCTTGAAGGATGTGAATTTGTATATTTGTATATATTCTGATAAACAGAAACGACTTCTCCCAGACCATACCGATACCTAGATTTCATTAGGCAGTTTTCCACACATATCAGGCGTATTTCTTATTCCAAAAATATTGTTGCTGACACCTTATCAAGAATTTGACACAAATAAGTCACTTATTTGACCCTAACTAGAAAGGAATTATTAGGGCCAATGACGTCTCATTGGGCACCGCGACCAATAATACTGAGGAAAAAGAGTACTTCCATTTTCAGAAACACATCAATGATTTCGGGTGAAGCGATATACAATGAGCTGTTTGGAATGGCCTATGTCACTGTATGTAGTTCTCATGCCATACACCTATTTTCAGACTTTTGGAAGCATAGAAAAATCTAGTGTCATGTACCGATCTCAATAATTTCAGACACTAGATTTTCTGGTCTCCAAAATAGGAATCAAATTCGCCCATGATAGCTAGAGATTCTAATATACTCGTAATCCAAGTTATCGATACCTATAAATGCGAAAGTCACTCACTTAACACTTAGTCCGTACTGATAAGTCCTAGGAAGCTAACTTATGGTATATAGGTGCTTCTTAGGTCTTAGATGCGCACCAAGGATTTTCAAATATTCCAACTGGGACGACCCCTGAGGATAGGGGCACGTATACATATGAAAATAATTTTTTCATCACTGTTGTTCCGTACCACTACATTTTCAGGGGCTGAAATTTTGTATGAAGATTCGTTTTATGTTGTAGATAATAAAAAAGGATTGTCAAAAATTCCAACTGGGGTGCCAGCCGTGGGAGAAAAAGGGGCTTTCATAAAATAAAGTTATCTTTTCATCACTGTTTCTCCGTACCGGTATATCTATGAAGGTTGGAATTTTGTATGAAGGTTTTATATTGTAGATGTGCAATAAAAAAATGATTTTTAAATATTCCAAGTGAGATGCCAGCAGCGGGAGGAAAAGCCGGGATGCCCATAATGTGAACAAGTGATCAATATGGCCCCCTAGAGCTTGTAATTTGAATGAATATTTTCGAATATATTATATATTTAGAATGCAGGGACATAGCGGTTGCAGCGGTATCGGGCCAATAATATGTCGCCCTCTGGAGAAAACATGTTTGTTGTGTATACTGACAAAAAAAAACTGTGATAGTTATAAAGAAAGACATTCTGTTGTATATTTAGTATCAGCATTGCACCCGTGCGAAACCGGGGCGGTGGCTAGTAATTCGTATCCCAGCAACTGAATTTTTTTAACGCTCAACTAATATGCATATACAACGCGTTCATTGACATTTTGTTTTCATTTCAAATGTTATGTACCATTTAGAAATAAAACACGACTGAGCATATTGAATGGCAGCACTATGAGCAAATTATGCATTTTTTGAGCTTTGGCAGCATTTTTTCGAAGCAAATTTATACAGTAACTGTTGATTTACCTGTGGTTTCTTCAGTGATATTTTAGTTTGATTCTTTCAGAGAAAATACATTTTGGGAGATGTTTATTCAAATCTCATTATGATCGGTGTTTCTTTTGATAGTTTATGGTGGCTGTGCCACAAGATGTTAGTGACAAGGTGAACACATAAGACGAAGTTTAGAAAGAAGCCTGTTAGAAAGAAAAAATGTAGAAAATAATAATACGGCATGAAAATTATTGAAAAGTGTAGAAAATATTCTGCTTATACCTAAAATATGAATTGTATATAGTTATTGATATGGAGGATGAATTACTGTGAATCTTAGGAGTGGAAATTTTTTTTCATGAGTTCCTATCGAGAAATGTTAAATATTTCGAAATAAAATCTCCCGGGCTAATAGCACACTGGATATTGAATTATATCCGACAGACATTTATGAAAGATATCTCACAGAGGTTAGTCTCGCAGATGTCTCTCGTTCATCTAGTAGCAGGGCCATACGTTAATTGTCCGAGAAGATCACCAACAGACCGGTTTCGAGGTATTACCGACTCAAACAGTAGAATGCCTGGGAATTGATTCATTTCAACGCGACTCCACTGCATTTATGAAACCTTCGTGTAAGAGAAAAATTTCGAGAACAAAGCAGACAAGCGGAAAGAAACATCCCATGTAGCATATTGTACCTATTTTCATATTGTGTGAGCTTGAGGAAGCTATTGTATAGCGATACACGTATCACTCTCGAATGAAAATCTTCCAATAAAGGGTTACTTGAATAGATCTCGTTTAGTTGGAAGTTATGAAAAACTATTTTCCAAGCAACTATACCAAGCCCTAGTTTTTCATGTGAAACTTTAGATTTTGTAGATCCATGTGGCAGATAACCGACGGAAAAACAACAGATAACCCAGCCAATGCCGCATAGAAAGCTGAAGTTGAATCATCAGCCACCTGTGCAACGTCTTCCATTTGGAATATTCGTCGCAAGTAAGTATATATGAAAAGCTGAAATTAATTTCATCTGGTAAGGATGACCACCGACAGACTCTTTTCGGACTACTAGCTCCTCGTCAGTGCTGGATAGACAATTTCAGATGGAGTGAACTAGTATGTATGTATGTATGTATGTTTGTTTGTTTGTTTGCTTGTAACTCTCAAGCTCGGGATTTGTATTTGACAGAATCATCGACATTATTGCTCGATCTATTCGCGGACAGATGGCGCTGTACGTAACCCCCTTGATATATCGACATTATTGCTTGATCTACTCGCGGNTTAAAAAAACCTAAAAAACACGCTTTTGAAGAACATCGAACTAAAAAGTTAAAAATATTTTTTTCAAATAAGCTTAGAACGGACGAAAAATACTAGTATTATTGTGAAAAAAAGCGCCAAAATAATACTAGTATTTTTCGTTCCTTATTGTTTTAAGCTTAATAAAAAATATATTTTTAATTTTTAGTTCGATGTTCTTCACTGTTTCT